ACAAAGAATTGATAGAAAAATGTTCAGAGGGAACCCCCTAAACGAGGCACCTGGAGAGGGGAGAGCTCTGGGATGGGCTGGGTCAACCCAGAGGCCAGAGCCCTGACACTTCTACAGACACCCCAATACCCACTTTCTCCTGTGAAACGAGACCTCAGCCAGGCCCCTGGCCCTCCCCTATGCTCCAGTCTAGACCCCCCAAGCCCCAGCCCAGCCCGATGCCCTCCTCCCCAGCACAGAGCTCTGAGCCAGGACAGCTGGGGGAGGGCAGAGGGTGGGAGGGTGTGGCTCCGGAACCCTTAGTAAAAGCAGGGTGTAGCTGGTCCTGCTGACTCACCCCATCCCTTTCCATTATACCCCCCCAGCATACACATCTGGAACAGACCCTGGTCCTGGGGCCACGCTGGCACAACACCCGATTCCTAGGGCCTCTGGACGGTGTGCCCCTTCGAAGTTCCCGGGTGCAATTCCTTTCTCTTTGGAGCTGCAGTAGGGACGGCCATGACGATGGTGGTAACAAGCACAGCGGAGAAGGCCCAGCCCGCCACCAGCAGGCCAGCTCCACCTCCCTGCTGCCCTCCAGAGACGAGACCCGTCCGCACACTGTTCATGGGAGAAGCTGGGGCTGGACACGCAGACCCCTCTCTGCCTGGTTAGTTGCTGCCGCCTGAGGCCCACACACTTCTCTACCCAACCTCCAATTTAAGTGTCTCCACTGCCATGATCATCACCCCAAAGGGAGCCCCTGGCAGGACTGTGCCTGAAGGTCAAGGCCGAGTCCCCATCACCCACCCTGGGCTCAGATAATGCATCCAGGATTGGAGAAATCAGCCCTATTTGCAAATCAATTGGCAAGGCAGGCGGTAGGTAGGAGAGAAACACAAATCTTCTTGGGAGACTAAGACAGGAAATGAAGTTATGGCATTTGGGGGGACCAGGGCTGAGAACAAAGGATTTTGATTTTAGTGGCTGTGAAGTGGGGTGGGACAGACCCTTGGCTGGCGTGCTCCAGGCGGGGCGTCATGGGTACTTCCTACACCAGCGACCAGGAGGCTTTTCTGTAGACACCTGGAATTTGGGGTCGGTCTACACACCTCTGCCTCTGGGTACCCTCTATTTCCTGTGCACTCCGGCTCCCAGCCAGCCCTGGAGTTCCACTCCAGGTTGTGCTGAGCCTCCCAGACCAAGTGTGTCCAAGGGACACGGTGCGACCCCCAACCCAGGCGCACATAGGACCCTACAACCCAAGACCCCAGCCTGGGAAGAGAGGGGAGGAAAGCTGAAGGATGGGCCTGGGAGGCAGGGAGAGGGGGAGACGAGAACAAAACAAATTTCCCGCCAGCAACCTAGCAGTACCCCCCTTTCCAACCCTCCTACCTCCACAATCCTGCTGCACCCCCAGTCCTGCCACACCCCAAAGGGAGAGAAGAGGGCCAAAGCACAGACAGTCTCTGACAGGAAGAGTCTTGGGTGGAGACCAGCAGACACAGAACCTGCTGTACTACCTCTCCCTCCCAGGCCTCCCAGGCCTCCCAGACGCTTTCTACCGGCTTACCACACAAAGGGGCGTCCGAGATGGGGGTGCTGTTGGGGGAGCAAGCACCTCGAGAGGGGGGCGGGGAAGCTGCATCTAGATGGGTGCAGCATTTTGCAGAGAAAAGGTGAGTCCCAGCCCCACAGTCAGGTGGGGGTGCCCCCCCCCTCAGCAGGAGCCAGGCCTATGTGTCAGGGAGCACCTCGAGGGAGCACCTTGTAGGAGCATCGTGAGGGAGCACCACAAGGGAGCACGGGGAGCTGGAGCTGCCAGCATCCCCAGAACCATGGGCTGCACTTCTGTTACAAACAAGTGTTTCCATTTTGGTTTTTGGTCTCATTCTGTATACTGCTACTCATCTTATTCCGGATTTCTCACTGGAGCTGGGGATTTCTTCACGTTCTGCCAACCTGCATGCCCAGACTTGACTTGGTGATAACAATCTGTTATCAGTTTAAATTCTGGTTCATTTCTCATAAGTCACTATGCACCTCCCTGAAGATTTCTCACTCGCTTTTGATGACTCTTTATATCCATTCGGGAATCCCATTTGGCGGAGCGTTCTTTTCCATTTTAAAATAATTAGTGACTGTATTTTCCCAAAGGTCTTTTTTTTTCTTCTTTTCTTTTTCACAGTGTAAAAGGAGAAAGACAGAGAGGCGCCTGCAGTCACCTCGCGCAAGAGAGCTGCCACCAACACTCTTTATTCACGAGCTGACACCTCACTTCTTAGAACCTGCTGACTTGAAGAGAATATGGATGGGTTTTGACAAATGTCCAGACCTGAGCTACCAACACCTCCATCCAGTTTCTTCCAATTCTCCAAAACAGCCAGGCACTCATACAACGTGATGTCTCCTCCTAGATGTTTCCTCACCCCCAGACACGATACCCACGAGCAGCCATTCTCCACTGCTCCCCCATGACTGCCACTCAGGCCCCTTTCAGCCCCCGAGGATTCTTTTAAGGACATTTCCTCTGGGGTCACACAGTATGTGGCCTTGGTGTCTGGTTTCCTTTTCAGCCCAGTGTCTCCAAGGCTAATTCAGCTGCAGCCTGAATTAGTACCTTGTCCCCCAGAGGCTGAACTCACCTCGGTGTTGGGGACGCCCGAACGATGACTTGTTTCAAGTGGAGAGAGTCTCGATTCCCTGCACACCACCCGTCACGGCTGGAGACAGGTTAGGTCGGTCACTGGAGTCTCCACGGTTGGTCTTGGAGGAGCTTGTGTTGTTTCCATAGTGTCTTCACTCTCTGTCTGTCTGCTGTCAAATCCCTCCTGTGGGCAGGCGATAGGGGAGTCTTTAAAAAGGTCAGGCTCGGGGCCTCCAAGACTATATATTTTTTAAAAGATTTATTTATTTTACATACAAGAGTTGGGGTACAGGCCAGAGGTGCGGGGGTGGGGTCTGTGTGAAAGGATTCACCAGAGACAGAGTGGGGAACAGAACAGGCAGCTTGACCAAAGCACACTGCTGAGGGGAGCAACGGGCGAGACAGGAGAGGTCTGCTGCACCACGTGGGTAGCTCCCTGGCTGGGGATCGAACTTGTGCTGCAGAGGCCGCAGGTAGCTTTATAGTGCTGAGACTTAACCCCTTGCACCATCAGGGAGGCCCTCAAGACTATATTTTTTATCGTTGAAAAATACAGGCTAGGGCCTCCCTGGTGGCGCAGCGGGTTGAGTGCTGTGCTGTGAAGCTGTCCGCAGCCTCTGTAGCGTGGGTTTGATTCCCAGCCAGCCAGGGAGAAACCCACATGGCGTGGCAGACCTCTCCTGTCTAGCCCACCGCTCCCCTCAGCAGTGTCCTCCGTCCATCTGCTTGTTCTGCTCCCTGCTCTCTCTGGTGAATTCTCTCACCCTCCCGCGCCTCTAACCTGTACCCCAGTTCTTATATAAATGAATCTTAAAAACAAAACAAAACATTGTATTCTAAATAAGAAATATACAGGCTAAATAAAACAGGCAAAACCATCATGACAGGAAACAGACTGATATCAGAGAGGTGGAGGGTGCTCTCAGAAGGATGACAGGAATCAAGAGGGTCAGATTCCAGCTGCAGAGTAAATTATTCATGGGGTGCATGCATGGCACGCAGCTGTCCTCAGTATGTGGTATTGTGAAAACTGGAAAGTCACTAAAATGGTACATCAACTCACTGGGATGGTCATTTTTTGTTGTTTGTTTTAATTTTTATTTTTTTTGCATAGAAGAACTGGGGTGCAGGCCAGAGATGCAGGGAGTGAGAGGATTCACCAGAGAAAGAGTGGGGAGCAGAACAGGCAGATCTACTGAAATACACTGCTGAGGGGAGCAGCGGGTGAGACAGGAGAGGTCTGCTGCACCATGTGGGTAGCTCCCTGGCCGGGGATCGAACTCAGGCCATATCAGTGAGAGTGCTGAAACTTAACCTAGTCCATGGTCATTTTGCAGTGTTTCCAAGTACCCAGCCATTGTGCTGCACACGGAGAACTAACATGTCAATTATCCTTCAAGTAAAAACAGCTCTGAAAACTACCTGCTGCAAACAGCCATGACTTGCTCAGACAGTTCCATGTGAGGAACTGCCAAGGGGAAGCCCATCACCTCTGAATCCTCCCTGGACATTAGAGTGGACATTCGCCCATCCCCACCCCCACCTGGAATTCCACATGGAGCCTGAGAGTCACCTGGTCTTCACCCCATCTTGTTCTGCCAGTTGTTTCAGAATGTTCCCAGAGGCAAAGGATCCAGGGGAGATAGGCCATGGGGAGGTTCTCATGTCTTCTCAGTTTCTGTCTCCTGGAAAGCTCTTCAGGCTTCCTTTGCCTTTTAAGCCCTGGAGGCTTTGGAAGGTTCCGGATTGATATTTCCTGGTCATTTGCTTCGGCTTATGCACTTTTGGGAAGAGAACCCAGAGGGGGCACTGCATTATCCTCAAGAAAAAGTCCTCTGTGAACTACACACATTCACTACTAATTTGAAAATGAAAAACCAGAAAAAAGTTCCTGAAAATGTCTCTCAAGATTTGACAGACAGGTTGTCAACCCTGAGACGAAGAGGCTGTCAGGAAGGC